TAGCTATATATTTTTAATTACTGTATGTGCTGATTAAGAACAACTATCGTCTGTATTGTGCCATTAAATGGAGGTTAGCCACAGCATATAGCATTTTGGTATATGAAATTATTATGGCATATGAATTATTTGTATTAACCATTTTGCAACGATATGCTAGGCCAAGATGAGTGAAGAGGAGCTAAAATGGGAGGATGCTAATAAAGGTTCTGATGTTAAAACTGATGCTTGGGGAGGAGAGAAAGAAGAGGAAGTAAAAACGGACCCATGGGGAGCCCCCAAAGAACCTAAAGAGGCCGTAGATCCATGGGGCACCCCCACAAGACCTGACACAACTGAAACAGCAGCTAGCAGTGGTCCCTGGGGGGCTCCAACAAGTCCTGATAAAGATCCATTTGCAGCAGATCAAACTAATGATGATCCTTTTGTGGCATCGAAAAATGGGGAAGATCCCTTTGTGGCACCGAAAAATGGGGAAGATCCCTTTGCGGCACCGAAAAATGGGGAAGATCCCTTTGCGGCACCGAAAAATGGGGAAGATCCCTTTGCGGCACCGAAAAATGGGGAAGATCCTTTTGCGGCACCGAAAAATGGGGAAGATCCCTTTAGTGCATCAAAAGATGACCCTTTCAACACCCCAAAGGACAGTTCAGACCCTTTCAGTGCCCCCAAAGACACGGAGGATCCATTTGCTGCTCAGAAAGATGAACCAGACCCTTTCAGCTCTTCTAACAATGATCCGTTTAATGTTCCAAAGGATGATCCTTTCAAAGCTCCAAAAGATGACCCATTTATCGCCCCAAAAGATGATCCTTTTAGTACTCCAAAAGACGATCCCTTTAGTGCCCCTAAAGAAGATCCTTTCATTACCCCAAAAGATGATCCATTCAATGCACCTAAAGACGATCCATTTAATGCACCTAAAGACGATCCATTTAGCTCTCCAAAAGAGGATCCCTTCAGTGCAAAAGCATTAACACCCCCTAAAGAGGACCCATTTGCAGAACCGTCATCAGGGAAAGAGGACCCTTTCACTGCTCCCACAACACCACCTAAAGAAGATCCTTTCTCAGTGCCAACCAAACCTGTTCAAGATCCCTTTGCTGCACCAACAACACCACCCAAAGAGGATCCATTCTCTACACCATCTTTACATGCAAAAGATGACCCCTTCGCTGCCCCAACATCTCCACCTCAAGAGGATCCCTTCTCCACAACATCTAAACCGACCAAGGAAGATCCCTTTGCTGCACCAACAACACCACCTAAAGAAGACCCATTCACAGCGCCATCCAGTCCACCAAAGATAGATGCCACAGATCCCTTCGATGCCCCTCTAGTGAGCTCACCTCAGAGTAGCACAGCTGCATGGGGAGCCCCAGCCACTTCTCCACCAGCCACCGTGTCAGATCCCTGGGGGACCACGGCAGGTGCTTCTTCACCTACCAATAATTCTGATCCATTTGGAGATGCATCCAAAGCAGACAATGACCCATGGGGGCCTTCAGGTAAGAAACAAACAAATAAATACTTGTATATGGATAGTACTTCTCAGAACGTAAAGCTGAAGAATTTTGCTAACTTCTAACTGGTTTGAATTAGTCGTAGTTCAAAATGACCGTTATACTTATCTGAAAAAAGATGCCAACTTTTTTTCATTGGCTGACCCTTATCAACAGAAGGTGGGTGGGGCTGCTGTGCTCACCACTCCTTGCACTGAGAATGCATTGTAAGTAGGTGTATATGCCTTTCATTTCCACTGTGGAGTTTTACATGGCACTTTAAAGTGCACACATTCACAAAAAGGCATATCATGAATGAAAACTGATTTTGAAAACTGATTTTTATTAGTTGTAGAAAGACCTGTGACTGAATTTCTGTACTTACATCACATGTGGCACCTTTATGTCTTTGCTGAAGAAGGCTGAGTAGCATGGTCCAAAACTCTGGAATAACCAGAGGAGTTAATTCTGTCATTTATTTCTCCATCACCTGAACCTGTCTGTTTAATTTACTCATCTAGCTTTGGCTCCTGCCAGTACAGACGATGCATGGGGTGCACCTGCTCCACCTTTAGACTCCTCCCCATCTAGTGACCCCTTTGGAGATGGAGCATCTAAATCCAATGATCCCTGGGGTGCATCAAGCAACACAAGTGGTAATGGCACAGGTACATCACATTCTACACACTGTCTGAATGCATGTTTGTGTCATTTATCCATTATTCCCATGAGCAAACACTGATTGTCTATGTATAATCACCTATAACACACTCTGCTCTGATTTAATTGACTAAATGTTTGGCTTGTCTTTAATTAATATCCTGAAAGTGGGGACTCGTTAAACCTTCATTATTGTGTCCATACATGGTGATTTGCACTTGTCACCATTTTCCTTGTTTTCATCCTCATTTCCCCGTCAGTCAGCAGTCACCTAACAGTCTTAATCTATTAACCTTCTCTTCCACTTTGCTCTCTCTTCTTCCCTGACCTGTCCCCAAAAGAAAACACCTTTTAGAGTAGAACTGGACCTTTATTTTATTGCAGGAAAGCACTCGAAGCAGGAAGACGCGATGTATCGAAAGACTGCTTCCTTCTTGGGCTCAGCAGAGGCATCACTGGTTGACTTGGACGATCTGTTTTCATCTGACCCTAAACCCAGACAGCGCCCTCTCATTGACGCCCAAACACAAGCCATCGGTAAGGACAGAAAAAATGACGCGTCAGTCTGGGTGAAAAGTAACTTTTCTGACAAATTCATCATGTGGAAATATTTGTGGTGCACTTGACTCAAACGGATGCATGAACACCCTCGAAGACCTGACAAATGAAAGTCACTCCCTGCTGATTTTAAAAATGCATTCCACTTGTGTTCGTCTGAAGTCATTCAAAGATAAGATGAGAGGGGTGATGGCTAATATTTATCAGTAGGTATGTATGGAGAAACTTATTGTGGTCGTGTGTTTTACCTCCCCTTCCTGCCCCTGTGGCCTTGCTGTAGTGTGTAGATGTTGTTCTGTACATTAGTGTGTGTGTGTGAGAGAGCATTAGTGAAGTTACTCTGTATAAAGACTAGTGTACATTAACCAGCAGATGTATAACCCTTCTCACCCCTCTCTCTGCTCTGCCTTGGCACATTTTCTCTTTACTGGAATTCTTCAAACTGTGTTTAACTCCCTCCCTCCGTCCTTCCCCCTCAACCCTCCATCCTCCTGCCACTCTCCTTGATTTCCCAGGCACTTTCAAAACAGCAGGCATGACATCCAGCCCTTTGCTAAAACCAGGAGCTTTTGCTGAAACATCACCCTCATACTCCAACCCTTTCATTTCGACCATAGCTTCCCCCCATGGTGCACCAACTCCCACTTCTGGAGCTAACAATCCTTCAGCATCATTGAATACTCTGGAAATGTCTAATTCTTCCATCAGTATGATTCAGGCATCTCAGATAGGTCCAGAAACACAAATGATACATCCCATTTATATCAATGAGAGTCCACAATTAGGACACAACATGAACTCCCCCATTGGAGGAGTGGGAATGGTGCAGTTTGGATATCCAGGCTCCATCTTAATGGGAACTGGAATGATTCACTCAGGTGTCTTTCAAGGAAATCACCCATCAGGTGACGGTCAATTTAGAGGCTCCGTCCCACAGGCTGGCGCTGAAGTCGTCTCAGGCAGCAGGTCAGATGAGATGGTGAACAAAAATAATCCATTCCTGTTCTGACAACTTGACATGTAATTTGGATCTCTGGAATCACCAAAAAGGTAGTTTTGCATGTTTAGTGCTACAGTTTAGTGTATGCATTCTCATTAGGATCAATTTTAGAGCAAAATATCTGAACCTTACTTTGAAGTGTCTCTTTCCCCCAAACCAATGCAAAGTTGTTCTGAGTGATCCCCTTAGCCTGTAATGGAAATTTCTATCTTTATGGTTGTGGAGCCTTGGAGGAAGACATTGTTCTCCATAGATAAGAAGGGGTCACAAAAAGGTAAAACTGATGTGAATCATGTGATGTGGCCTTTGCAGTGACCTGCTGTGGCAAATCTAGACCAGCATGTTTGAGGGTGTTCTCCACCACCATTATCAAAACACCAAATGAGGCAATATCTTTAAAAGACAGGAGTTCATCCCTCCAGTAGAGTTCCAGAGACGTGAGTCATTTTTATACAGAACTAGGCTGAGAATTAGCACCGAGCACAAGAGCCCACGTATGACACATTCTCACTGAATCATATGCTTTTGTTTGGTTTGGACAAGCAAGCTGCCTGAGAAGAGCAGGAGACAGGACGCACATCTACACTCCCTAGTGATGAACACACAGGATGATTATCTGTTCAGAGCTCACCACGTGGAAGCTGGCATTCACAATTCAAATATATAGTATACGTGGCAGTTTTTATGTTTCTAAGCTTGGTTGTCAAAGTGCTGTTGAATTTAGCCAGAAGGAAATGACAGTACTTAACAAGTACGAAGGAATCTAAATATTTGACATGGTAAACTTACATCTGTGTCTTTCTAGAAAGAAGGAAACAATCGACAAAAGTGGTGTATTGATAATGGGAAGTGGTGAGTATATATTTATACATATTTAGAAGCATAAACATGCAAAACCACCTAATGATGCTTTAATAAAAAACCCTTTCATTCCTGAGCTTACACTAACCTCCCCTGAACTCAAGATGCTGCCCATGAATCAAATGTATACAAACACAATGTGTACAGCGTAATATATATATAAACAAATACACAGATTATTAAAAAAGAGCAATGTAATTGTTATTTAAAAATGAATTTATTCGATTTTTTTCCTTTCCCTGCACAAGTGTGACAAACGGAGAGCACCTCAGTGTGTCTGTGTGGAAATCCTAAAGAGTTTTCGGTGTGTTTGAGTGTTGTGACAGGACCTGTAAATCTTTGACTGGGACATGCGTCACTGTAGGATTAAGTGTGTGTGTGTGTGTGTGTGTGTGTGTGTGTGTGTGTGTGTGTGTCTGCAGTATTTTGCTGATGTAAATAGTGGAAGTATTTACAAGTAAACCTGGAAATATACTGTACTGTATATCAGAGTGTTGCAATCACAAGTAACTATTTATTGATCTATTTATTAATTATTAATTTATTGCTTGGTTAATTATTGACACAGCAATGAAATCCAACAAGATCCAAGGTCAGGTGTAACTTTCATTTCAGGCAGGCCTGGTGGTATTGATCATGTGATGTTAACTGACTTTAATCTAATTGGTTGTTTAAATATTTCTTTGTGAATCAGCTCGGTAACCAACGGTGGCTTCATCTTCCCGTTTAGCTCTGTAGACATTTTTGAGTCATTGTGTAATTGTCTTCTTGGTTTCCCGGCTCTTTCTGAGGAGAAACTGAAATACCGTTTTGGCGAAATTAAAAACAGAGTTCAAGAATATCAACTTGTTTAATGTGTATGCTGTTTGAGCGGATGTGTATGTGTACTTGCTCCTCATTTACTTCAACACAAACATCTGAAAGGAGACTAAATGGTTGTATTTTCTCTTCTTGTTACATTTTACTTTGAAAACTTAAATGGTAGCAGGATTCATCATCATCATCATTTATTAGTTTTGAAAACTGTAAATTAAAGCCACAGTGAAGCAGGCAAACCTGATGAAGGGATCACATGGCTGTGTGCTTCATGGGCTGTACGAGTCCTTACTGTGTTACTGACTCGGTGATATGTGAACATTGGTGGAAAAACAGACTGGAATACAGTCTAGCTTCACATGACTATTATTTCTCAGATTTAATTTTGTATGAAATGAATTTATTTTGCTGTGTATTAAAATGTATAGTTGTGTTGTAAACTGTGACAGTACATTTGAGAAATAAAGCGATTCATGATACAGTCACTCTGCCTCTTTTGGGTCTGGCTGTCCACAGTGGATCCCTCAACTTCTCAAATCTCACTTTTCTTAACCTGAATTATTTCTCACTCATGATTTCTGTCTTTGAGGACTTTCTCACTGTCACCACTAGAGGGCCATGATTACCAACATTTACACAAAACATTTTCCAGCACCCGTGCAGAAGAAACGTTTAAAGCTATAAATATTTGCACATTGATAAATTCCGCATCGTTAGCAAATATGGGATTTTTTTATTTTTTTTTAGTTGTTATTATTACTATCATTATGATGTTTAAACCAGTTGTCTTAGATTTTTATGGAATAAATATGCAGACATACAGCCACAAATTGTCAAAGTTAAATAACTGTCTTCAAACAGTATCTTTAGCCTATATTTATTTGGCCACAGCATTAGGCCTGCTTTAATTATTCATTCACTCATCATTCATTAATCTCCTGATTAATTTAGAAGTGCAAGGGTGAGTGGAGGCAGATGAAGCCATTACAGATATTGGGCACAAGAGCAGAAAATATAGGATTGACAGATGAGCTGAGTCCCTCCATTCATGAATAGAGGGCTTAGTGTCTTAAAAACAGACCAGGGCAGATTGGGAATTTGACAGTCAGCTTCAGTCATTTTAGGACACGATGGTCAGTTGAGACCTTGTGTCGCCTTTTTTTTTTTTTGTACAGTAAGTAGTTATATAATCCTAGCCATCGCCTTCATACAGCGAGATAGATTCAGAATAATGACCATGAACAATTTTTTTCTGCTCATTACGAATCATCAAACTAATTAAACCTCTGTAAGCTGATTCTGAATAAAAAGTGTCACCATATTAAGTGCAGGTTTTCCTTTAACACCTGCCCAATTAATTAAATAAATAAATCACAACCTGACAAAATTTTCATAATTATAATTATTAAAGTTTGTTGTACTTGAGTCCCTCTTTAAACCAGTTTGGATGGATAATAATCATAAAATCCTCGCTCGCAGGCTGAGGAGAAACATGTTTAAAATAGCCCAACAACACATCATTTGCTATCTCAGTGTGTTTGGTAACATTTAGACGTGTGATTGCTGAACATATTGCTTTCAAAGTCAGTGATGCCCACTCACTACCCCAGGGGGTAGATGTGAAGAGCAGTTCAAGTTACTTGAAACCAATGCTTTCATTTTAAAGGACTGGTTAAAAAACGAGGTTAAATATTAATGCTGTGTCAGGGCAGCTGGTGAAAATGTCACTTAAAGCAATAAATCTGGAATCAGGGAAAAAGAGTACGTTGGTTAAAAAAAACAGTTAGTTAAAGGGGTGTAAATGTACCCGTTTGGTTACTGTGTGCCTTGAAATGAGAACAAGCCCACAGAGTGGAGCTGCTATAGATGAGAATGAATCCAATAAAGTAACAGGAGAACAAGCAGTTTTCTTTAAAAGGTCAAGCTGCATCAGAGTAGTTAAGATAATGTCATAGAGAGTAAAGTCACTTGCTTCTTCTTTCTATCGTTCCCATTTCTGTTGTCACAGCAACTTGCCTATCCCTTACATCCTCTTATGTGACACCAGTACTCTTCATGTCTTCTTTCCATGAGTCTTCTTTGTGGTCTTTATCTTTTCCTCCTGCCTGGTAGGGCCATTTTCAGCATCCTTTATCCAATTTATCCGCCATCCCTCTTCTGCACATGTCCAATCGATCTCGCCCTTTCCTCTGTACCTCTGCCTCCAAACGGCACAATCTGAGCTGACCCTCTGATATACTGTCACAAACCAGGCTCCACAGCCATGACAAAAAGGGAGATGCCAAATGAATCCCAATTAAAACACTGTTTATTTTGAATGTAAGAAACAAAGGAAAAAACTAAACTAACCTAGGCTTTCAATGCATGATGAGGAATGTGTTGTTTAGTCCAAGAAACAAAACCAAGAAGCAACCACAGACATCTGGAGGCACGCCGCTCAGCCTTAATGTGCTTCTTATTTAGCCACTCCTTTGTTCCCTTGGTGTTCTGAGTCACTGTCATGCTGGAAGAGTCATCGATGACCCATCTCCAAGATTAACAGAAGTGGGCCCCATCCATCTGCATCATGATGTCATCCTGCACCCTTAGCAAAAAAACAGCTCCAAAGCAAATGTTTCATACTCAGCATTTCACTTCCTCCAACCACAGTGCGTTGAGTTGATACCAAAGAAGTCAACTTGTTTTTCATCTGATGGCAGCATTTCTCCCAAGACTTCTCTGAACCATCTCTGATGTTCACTGGCAAACTTAAGATGGCCTGTATACATTCCTTCCTGAGGAGGGGGATCCATCCATCACAGTGTTAACAACAGTATTCTTGGTGACTGTGCTCCCAACTGGCTTCAGATACTTAATATAATATAATAAGCTCCTCCCATGTAGTTTTGTACTGATCCACCATCTTCTCATGATCACCCTCACCCCATGATTCAAGAGCTTACATGGAGCTGCAGACCAAGGATGACTGATGGCCGTTTAGAGTTCTCCCTCTTCCGGACAATCGCACCTACACCTGTCACCTTCTCACCAAGCTTCTTGCTGATGGTCTTGTAGTCCATCCCAGTCTTGTGCAGATCTACAGTCGTGTTCCTGATGTCCTCTGGGAGCTCTTTGGACTTGACCACAATGGTGGATTGATTGATTGGGAGAATTCTGGCTGGGTTCCAGGGGATTCCAGCCAGAATTTCACTTAAATTTCTCAGTGAAATTTAAGTCAATAACTTTTATGTGATGCAATTTCTTCTGGACTTTTGTTGGATTTCTGTCTCTTTCAATTAAAATGAAACTACCATACAAATTAATTTCAATACAGCAGGGGATCAAATATTAATGTCCCTGTGTACAACACAAATTCATAACATTAGCAATTTAAAGCACTTTCACAATAGTATGCAATGTTGACGACTAACCAGATAAGAAAACCAAAGCTGGGCCTCACATGATTTCTGACTGGTGGTGACTGATAATTAGAGAGTGTTGGTAAGGTTTTGGCATCATCTTAGGATACAGATGGAGAAGTTCTTAAAAACGTTTTTTTAAGGTGTAGCAACAAAACAGATGTTTCATTTCAACAGACCACAAAGGCAACTGAAGCAAGAAAACATCCAGCAAACTCAAAATCATTTTCTAATCACGGCCCAGTGATTTGTGCAGTCATCACTCAGTATAAACAGTAGCTGCACCTCACTTGTGTTAAGACGGGTCAGAGTTTAAGGAGCAGAATTACAATCACAACACCAGCTCTCGTCTCAATCTAAGCCTTTCTATACCATGTATACAAATTAATCTATAGAAGGACAGGTCAGCAAGGCCATGACTGAGAGAGGAGGCGTGATGAGGAAGGCAGGCGAGGCGAGAGTGAGAGTGGAGGAAAAGACACTGCAGGGAGCAAAGGGGAGGGAAAGTAACAGATGGACTTGGGAGGATTAGAGGGAAATCTGGGTGGGTTTCTGATGGAAACTCACCCAAAGAAGCACGAGGGAGTAATAAGGGAGCATGAAAAAGAAAGGTGAAGGAAACTGGAACCCTGCTTGAAGACAGGTGAAGGAAACACAAAAAGAGCCTCTCCTGAGATCCAAGGAAAGGTAAGTAGATTTTTTTTTCATTATGTTCTGCAAGTGTAAGCCGATCAATCGGCAGCAGCTGGATTTCAGCTTTTACTGATGAGATGAAACAAAGAGCTCTCTCAAACAGGGAAACTATATTTTTTTACTTGTATTTATAGAAATCTGTGATGCTTCAATGAGCTGTGTTAATTCAGTTTTTCTATCGCTGACATCTTCAGTAAAACCAGCATTTCTAATCTAAGACTGAGATCAGAGTCAGTAAAAATGAATGTCTTGAGGAAGGTGTCACCATATCGGATCGTCACCATTGTTGTGTTAAACCTGACAATGATTTTATCGTGATGTCTGTGGAAAATCTAAAAAATAAACAAATAAATAGCGGTAGCACTCTCAGCTCAGCCCCTCTCCTTCTAGGGATCTTTGAATTTCAGGTTTCGTGCAGTTTGTCTTCATCATTTAGACTTTTATACTGATGACGTGGTCAGGTGTGTGGTACCAAATAATCCAGCAGAACAGTGCATGCATTTGTGGAGTGTGTGGATTATAGGTTTGCCTCACGCTGATTTGATAAGATGAAATTAAACCTCAGTGCCTCGTCAATCAATCTGTGTTTATAGCGTACACAGAGAAACTCCTGCTGTGATGCCCATCAAACTTTATCTAAAATAGGAAATTGGAAATACCTAATTTTTTATAGTTATCAGCACTTTAATTCACATTTAGTGGATAATAAATTTTGAAAAGAAAACTGTCAAATACTGGGAAATATGATTTCAAATATGAAAACACACTTTTTTTTATTTAAAAAATGGTGCTTTTCATGTTCTAGACGTCTTTAATGATCTGTATGTTTCTGACACACTGATCGTATTTTGTAATTAATTGCTTTTACTACAAAATCTGCACACATTCAGACTTCAGTGGAATCTTTTTAAGTAATTGCTTGTGTACAAGCAGAGAGAACACAAGAACTGGTGATTAAGAGGTCAGGCCCAATACATTTGTGCTTATAATGTATGATGTGTTCCAATAGGACATGATACAATACAATATGGTCTGATGGAATCATATTATATTATATTATATTATATTATATTATATTATATTATATTATATTATATTATATTATCACAGGGGGGTGGACCCTATCCCAGAATTATATTGCTACATCAGATTGTAGTTTAATGATTTGAGTCTAATACGTTGTATTAAATATAACCAATTTACAAATGTGGCACCTGGCAGGATTAAGTGCAGCTCAAATTACTTGGACATAGACGTGACTCTGTCTTCATGACTCCTAATCCCAGATCTTTGCCTCCATCATCTGTTTTTCCCTCTCTTAGGTGGTCGTTCAGACAATGACAGCATGAGTGTCAGTAAGCATTAAACTCATCCACCTAACCCCGCAAGATTACCACAGATTACCAGGCCACGAGGTAGGCCTGAGACGCTGGACTAATCACTTCTTCATGAGTTCAATCCCTCTCACTGAGGTGGAGGAACAGGTTGAAGAACGGGATGTGCCCTGAGAGTGGAACCGATTAGTCTCAAAATCCACAGGATAAGATTTAGATGTTTGTCTTTATCTGAGAGGGGAGAAGATATTAATATGAGACCCGAGCGGTGACTGCAGTAGAAACATGGGCTAAATTTGTGACCAAAGTCTCCAAAAGGAAACAAAGGTCCCAAATTTAAACCTGGCCTGCTTCTCTTCATCATGCTTATTTCCTTTAAGTGACACTGCAGCAGGAGGAGAGTTAGAGCTCCCCCTGCATCCTCTGGCCCGCACATCTGTCTCTTGTTGCTGGAAAAGATTAAATCCCATAGCTTCATCTTTCTTTATTCCACTGTTATTTGACCTTTGCTCAGCGCTAGCTCTCCTTCTCCAGCGCTGCCCTACTTCTATCTCTCCAACAGACTACTTTTTATCTTCCCCTCCGTCCTTCGTTCCACTTCTCAAATACCACTAATCCCCTCTCCTCACTTCTGTCTCTTTCCTACCACTTTATTTTCAATCTCTATTGTATTATTGCAGAAAGCTCCCCAATCTTCTGCTCCAGACAGGTCACCAGAACCTGTCTGGCTCTTGCAGCTATTTTTGACACACACTTGCCAAAACCATTTCATTTCTCATTTGGCTGCTTTTGAGTTGAGACACAGTCATGCTGGAGAAAATGTCCAGACGTAACCGCTCCCTGCTGTCACTGTTCCTCACCTCTCTGGCCCTCACGCTGTCCGTCTGGGCTTTCTGCACCTCTTATTGGTGCGAAGGGACACACAAGGTGGTGAAGCCGGTCTGCCTGTCGCCAGTCAAGATGAAAAACTGCGGGCAGAACAACAGCCAGCCGTACACCACAGGTAAGACACACGGGCCACACAGTGCTTATTCTGGACATTTCAAAGATTTCAAGGATCCTGGTTAAATTGGCAACAGCTGAAGTCACTGATGGTAACAGCAGATGAAGTTTAATCATCTCAAAATGGAAGTAATGACACAACTATCTGCATAGTTTTCTTTAAAAAATGAATTTTAGGGTAGCTGAGGGACTTTGTTCTTATTTCATGCATCATTTTGAGATTTTTTGCTTTATTTGCACTGTTGGTAGTTTTACTTCCTTTTTTGTAGTTCTCTGTACTTTGGGATTAGCTGTGATCAAATAGCCCACAAATCAACCAAAATAAAAATATTTCTGTAATTTTGATCTTGATGGAAATCCTCAGGCTCTGACTGCACATACACTAAACTTATTTATCATGTGATGGATGTTGCTGACATTAGTCTGAAGAGGTGAAACTATATGCTGCTGTATATACTTCGTGCTTTGTTCTTTTACTGCCGGTCATATAAAACCAAACAATCAATAAAAAGCTGTCATCCACTGATAATTTATTTTTCAGTTGGACAGATGATTCAGTGTACCTCTGGCCTTTACTATTAGGGATTTCTATATTTGTGACAAAATTAAAATGATTTATGATAACCCTAAAAACAGAACAGCAACAAACTGAGAAGACAACTGATACAAACTCATAAATTCACACACGACGTTCGTTACAGAAGGCAACGACTTGCTAAGATGCAGATATTTATCATAGCAACCTAATGTTTATAGTTTTGCATAAACAAGGTTAAACTCACTTTTAACATTTACATAATCTGCATCATCTGTTTTGCTCATTGTTTGATGTAGTGTCACTATGAATTATGGGACAGCATTGTCTCCTTTGGTTTCTTGGAGGATGAGCCAGAGCTAAGGGAGATAATAAAGGATTCGAGCTCCTTTCCATAGAGAATTTAAAGAGCTCTTATTATGTGCCTGCCACACTGCTGTTTCCAGGTCACTTCACTCAGAAGAAAACAACTATTTGAGTATTTGACGGTGTCTGCTGTGCTCCCATTAGAAATGGGTGCTCCCCTTTCCAGTATTCCCAGCTTCCTTACTGTGCCGTGTGCCAAACCTGACACTGGCTCCACCACCTTATGTGGGTAGAAATTTAGGTTGTCATGACCAGACCTTCTCCATAACCTATGTAAAACCCCATCTCATGAGTTCTGGGCCACACGTGGGCCAAAGCGCAGAGTCCTCAAAACGTCTATTTTCTTGCTCATCTTAACTGGCTTTGATGGATGTTTAAAGACAACTCAGAAGAGCATGTAACAAATCTAAGCTGTATTCAATACTTACTCACAGCTAGCAGACAGTTGGAGCATTTGATACATGCCTAATTGAATGAAAACCAGCTTCTAAGAAAGTGCTTTCACCCTAAGGTCAGTTTAAACATGAATTATCTCTTTTTCTCTGAGTTCTCTTTTGCCTTCTGCCAGCTGGATTTCTAATTTCTCTCGGCTGCACGTGCAGTTTGTGCAGAAAGTCTGAGTGCAGGAATTCTCAGTGCAACACAGTGTTGTCGCACACCAAGTCATCAAAAATGATCTTTTCAAAGTGCATCTGTGATGTTGTTGTGGGGTGTGGGATCGTCCAGGCTTCCCTGTCACTTTTACTATTTTCCTGTTTGCTTATTACAGTATGGCATTAGTAGTTTTACTATTACAGGATCTCCACAGCTGCTTGGGTTGAAGTATTTTTAGACTTTATTGCCAGAGATTCACATAATCCCGGCTTTGTTGCTTATCTCAGCACTTTATGGCAGCAGCTGCATGTTGTCTGGATTTGCTAACCCACTTTACCATCATTCAGCTTTAAACCAATTTTATCTCTGTGTAGTATTTAATTTTTATTACATAAAACAAGGGCTGATAACACGGAGAACAAGGTTTCAGGGCTGGATTGTGTTACACACTGTGACCCAAAGGAGACCTACTTCAGGATTTACAGCACTGTTTGCTGGCATACTTTTCTCATATTTCCACAGCTCTAGTCTTATTAGAGCAAAAGCTCCTTGGAAAAAAACAAGAACACAAATGATTCTGTTAATTACTTAAGTTTGCTCATTTCAAGCAAAAAGGTATGTTTTTATACCGTTTCTGTCCCCCTAAAACTCCTGTCCTCTTCATCCAGAGGTGCCCACCCCAGACCCCAGGAACCCAGCCTCCAATGTCACGCTGTCTCCTCAGCAGAAGGAGGAGCTGGAAAGGATAAGGAAAAAGCAGCTGGCCAACGCTGTCCACTACATCTGGGAGACAGGGGAGGACAAGTACATGCTGAGATACTTCCACACCGGCTTCTGGCTGTCCTGCGAGAAGCACAATGAAGGTTGGTGAGTGGAACAGACTTTGATCAGGGATCGAATAACTGGGGGATTTTTGTGCCTGAATAACCTCCATAAAAAACTCCCTGATTTCTTTCATAATCTCAAGATGACACTCTCATGTCAAAGGGGCTATGTAAAAGTAAATGAGGCGGAAATAAATTACCTTTTAAAACAAGTTTAATTACAACATTTTAATTACCATAATGACCCAAAAACTAAAGGCAGGTTGAGATAGAGGAATAAGTTAATGCATACATTAAAATGCATCAAACATCACTTAAAAATGGGCAACAGCAGATTTTCAAATATAATTTTAACCCTGTTCATGTGCATTAATTAAAATAGCCTCTTCAGACTGCAGTAAACATAACTGTGAATAAACAGAGCCTGCATGAAGCCCTGTGACTAAAGTTTACAGCATTTTTTGCTTGCAAGTAAAATTGAAACTAGAAAGTGGCTGGAACGCATTTTCATATTAAAATTATCCAAAATAAATAAGAAACTAAGAGGAAAGATAAGTAAAATAAATCCAAAAAGCATAAAATCTGAGTGTCTCGGGTGAAAGTTTGGTGTGATCTGCAAATACTTCCTTGACAAGTCATTTGTCTGTCCTCTTTCAAGGACAAGCCACAGTCAAAGGAGCATTAAAAGCTAGTAAACAGTCAGTAGAGCTAATAATGCAGTTATTATGCCATTAGATTATTCCTGCCTTCACTGTAAGAACAATTAATAAGTGCTGAGTATTTTTATGCACAAATACCTGGCAAATAATATTATTGAACCATTTATTATCACATGCACAGCTGTAACCTTATTGGTCATGAGGCCATCTTGCAGCACTGACGGTGTGAAATGGCAGTGGCAGTGCTCAGGTATGTAACGTAAAGCCTGGCAGACTCTTAAACTCTTAAATCTTGTGAAACTTGCATCAGTCCAGATGTCCCACAGAATGAACCTCACCTCTTCCTCTGTTTGTGTTTTAACTGCTTCACAGATTTGTGCAAATTTGAATTTTTTTGCAAGAACCTATATTATTTGTTTTAACAGTCACTGGCAATCTGGTTGATGAGGACAAGTTGGAGATGTGCTTTCTATAAGGACACATCTCAACATGAGGGGACAAGTCTAAAGATTTTATACGCACAAACACATTCATATGTTTTAATCTTCATGTGAGGTTTTATCCAAGCTTTACAAATCAAGTGGAGATGCCAGCCTCTTTAAGTATAAATTATTATTCCCTCTTTTTGAATGTCCTTTCACTGGAGCTCAACAGGGACATGCTGTCCAACGAATAAAACACAAACAGCAAACTTGGAAAATACCCATGTGATTTCGCTGACTCAGCCCAATGAAATCCCGTATTTGCTTCAGAGGAAGATTTGAATACATTTTGTTCACTGCATCGGGATTGTGGATTTTCAGAGTCCAAATCTATCATTTAATATAGTGCACCTCATTTAAGCCGCTTTCTAAGCCTGGATTATTGTTGCTACGCAAAAAACTGATGGAAAAACTGTTGGTAGTATTGAGTTAACACATGTGAGTCACACAATAAAGTGCAACCATCCTCTCTTAATGGCAAAAGAAGCTTGAGAGGGTTTCTTCTTTTCACGAACTAAATGATAATAGAGACCAAAGAAAACATTGTTATTGTTGTTAAGTGCCATATGGGCTACATAGTTATGAACACACACATATAAAAGCATATACAGAGTGATGTTGGGTATCCTGTACACAGAAAGCAATCACTGTCTTATACCCTTCGATGGAGTGATTGCAACTATGACTGATTGTGGTTCAAAGCTGATTGCAGCTTTAAATTTGACCTTTAAGTATGTGTGTGCCTCTCAGTGCTTACAAAGGATTATTCTCCCCAAACCTAGTTTGTATAAAACAGGTAGACCCCTGTAAACATTATAGACAATATAACAAGCTTCTTAACCCTTGTTTTTAGGTGCAGATCAGGAAGAAAAGTGTCGAAGTTTCATTGAGCTGACACCAGGAGAGACACAAGGTTGGTCCAACACCAAATTTTCATCTCACAACAGAGAAAATCTTCAATATTTAACCTGAAGAAATTGTCTCTATATCCTTAAATGCTTCCAGGTGTGCTCTGGCTGTCTGTCATCAGTGAGTTCATGTACATCGGTCTCCTGGCTATGGGCTTCTTACTGATGTGTGTGGAAGCACTGTGCCTCTGCGCCAAGAGGGAAATGAACGCCCTCAAGATCAATGCCTTTGCAGCCATGTGCACTGTCCTCTCAGGTGAGAACAAAGAGCATTTTCTGAGTCCTAAAAGGCTGTGGGCACTTGCTTGCTTGCTTGATCTAAAAACCTCAAGAGGAAAAGGGTTGGATACAAATGGTGGAAATTACTTTCCTTCAGATGGTGTGTGGGTGAGGACCTCAGTAATTCAGGAGGGGCTCAGAGTAGAGCTAGGATGGATGGATGGATGGATGGATGGATGGATGGATGGCAGGACTGCCATGTTTCAGTCATTCCTACAATAATAACCTCCAAAATTTGAATTATTTTATCTTACTTTTTTATTTTTTAACCATATTTTTTCAGGTTGCAGCAAAGGTAACCGTATCTCCATGTTTCTGTCCTCTCCCAGGCATGATGGGGATGGTAGCTCACATGATGTACACAACCGTGTTTCAGATGACTGTTAGCATCGGACCTAAAGACTGGAGGCCACAGAGCTGGGACTACGGCTGGTCTTTTGCGTAAGTTTCAATTAAACCAAAGTAATTATTCTGTATTAAAGTAAAATATTCCCCAACAATCCTCAGATTAGATGAAATATCCCACAGAGTTTGATTATCACCCAATATTGTCAAAATATTTTATATCTGCAAGGTGTGTAAACATTATCTGGTTAGCAAGCTATACAGAAAGCTGTTTTGAGAGTGGCTGTGACAAACACTAACATGGTCTCAATTACCTATAGCTGTGGTCAGGAGTTCACATGAATGATTGACATGGTGGCTTTTAATTATTTTTCTATATTTCTTTTTCTAGGGTCAAATGATTGCACAGAACACATCTTTAATGACTTTAAAAAACAATAATTGAGAGCACGAGTTTTTAATTTATCTGGAATTTTCTGTGATCCACACGGGGTCAGAAGCAAAAAAGATACATATAACGCCACAAATATCTGGTTAAATGTCCCTTACCAGACACTTTTGGTAGTCATCAACAAGCGTCTGGCATAATTCTAGCTATTCTAGATATTTGACCAATCTCATTGGCTGATTTGTTGGATTTTCAACATGGTTGAGGTCAGGGCTTTAGGTAGGCCATTCTAGGTGCATAATGCTAGTTGCTTTGTCCATTTCAAAACCAGTGTTGATGTGTGTTTTTGATCATTGTTCTGTTGAAATGCCCATTTGCATCTAAGGTGCAAACATCTAGCTGTTGGTTTGAGGTAAAGTTGAATAATTTGAACATATTCCTCCATTTTTATTATCCACTTTGTGAAATGTATCAGTACCACTGAGAGGAAACAGCATGATGCTTCTACCACTATGCTTAACAGTTTGTATAGTTGTCTGAGGTTTGAAAGCCTCACCTTTACTCCTCCAAACAATTCCTACTATCATTGTAGCTCAATCTTTGTCTCATCTGACCATGGATCTTTCTCCAGGAGGAATTTGGCTTTTCCATGTGGGCAGTTGAAAATTTCAGTTTAGCTTGAAGGTGTCGGTTTGGGACCTGGGACATCTTTCTTGGTCTGTACTCTCAGTCCATGGCAATGTAAAACTGGTTTCCAGTTCATGGGAGGCTTGAGCCTTTGTGGTTCCCAGGCTGTTCTTGAATTTAATAGGCCTTATTTAAAGTGAGTGTACGTATATGTTTGAGCCTTCATTGATACTCCTGACCATGTGTGGATTAGAGAAAATTTCAAATACATTCAAACTTGTGCATCCAGTTCTTGTTTTTTTAAATCATTAAAATGTATGGTTTATTGTCATTCCACTTTGGGAAAAGAACCCTTCAAAGAAACAATTAAAAGCCCCAAATTTCCATGACATTCTTGCTCGTGGCGAGTGGATGTAAACTAACTGACCACAGTTATAGATGCTGTCTCTCCAAGCTTCAGTAGTCGTATGGCACTTTAAAGAGCTTCACTGTACCACTTTCTGATCTGATCGAATCTTTACACAACCTTTTGTATTGGCTGGTCATCATACTAGAAAGATTCAATCTTTCCCCCTCTCCAGCATGGCATGGCTTTCATTCAGCTGCTGCATGGCAGCTGCTGTGGCCACATTGAACTCCTACACCAAGACCATCATTGAGATGAAGCACCGGGCTCGGGTAAGGCTGGAGGAGGCCCGAAATACCACCAGTGCCCCCTCCTATGAGGAGGTTGTTCGAGCTGGGCCGGGAGGGATTTACTCCGTCAGTCAGCTGATGCAGCTTGGACAACAGGGGGCTCTAATGGACCCAATGTGGCCCAGAGGAGTGGGACCAGCTGTTGGACCTCTGACATGTGGCGCTGGGGGAGCACTGCTCGTTGGTGGAGGAGGAATTGGAGTTGGAGGCATGGGTAATCTTGGCGTTGGGATGGGACTGGGAGGAATGCCATCTATGGCAGGTGCTGGGGGAAATGGTGTTGGAATGGGAGGGATGGGAGGTGGAGCAGGGGGAGGAATGGGAGCAGGTGGAGTAGGAGGGGGGAAGCTGGCAGACCCTCATGGTGTGGTTGTGGTGGAAGGCTGCGGCACCGAAGGATGTGAAGATTGTGAACGTGAGATGGACGAGATAAATTATGCCCTCCAGGAGGAGCGAGAGGACTCACTCTGCTAAGACTTCTCGGGGCAGAAGACCTCGACAAACATCTCTCCACGGCAGATTTTACTTATCTCACTAAAACTACAATAAAATATATATTTTTTAAATTCACAGGACTTGCACAGACACACACGCACACCTTTAACCTTTAACTGCAGTTTTGTACATGTGGGATTGTACAAATGAAGTTTCAAATCAATTCTAGACTATTTTCAGTACTACATCTATTACAGTATGAGAATTTCAATTTCTGGACCAGTAGCGAGCAAAAGAGCCCGAACTATTAGTGTTGTGGTTTATTACTGTAAGAGTTACCACTGTAACATTTTCATGCTATCTCAGTAATGTTTCTGTCCACATGGCAAACTCTGCAGACATATGTGCAGTAGAAGAACCAAAATAACTGGCTTAAAGACAATGCAAGCTTCACAGAGCTGCAAAGTTGGGATTATTATATTGGCAAGCGAATATTTGAATAAGGTTTAATACTTGAATCAGAATATTATGATGTAACATTTATTAGATTTGCCCTTCTACATGTCTTACACATGGAGTTAGCTTACAGTTGTTCCTGGCTGGAAGTACATATAACTTTAGGCAACTGAAATTTAAACACACGCACACACACGCACACACACACGCACACACACACGCACACACACACACACACACACACACACACTCACAGTTTGATTTTATAAAACTGCACAAATCATTTTGTTTTTCAAGCCTTACATTTCTTCAGGGATTTGATGTAATTCAGTGACTCGTTGGATGTTAGAGATGATGTGAATGTATTCAAGGGGCAACAATACATAACAAATAATATAACACAAGTTTGCAATCACATTTGCTGTATGTATATTTTTATTTTTAATCTGTTTTTGCATGATTGTATAAAATTCTCTCCACATTAAGGTGATGAATAAACATGAAGCACATTCATTGCATGACTGGACTCGTCACTTGTAATAGACTTTAATGGAGTCAATGATACTAAAGTTCTTCAAGACAAGAATTTATTTTCTTTTTCAAGTTCATTCAAGTTAAGGGTTTAGGCTTTCAAACCTAACTTAACTGTACCATTCGGTGCTATGTGCACCCACATAGATTTGCATTCAAACAAATAGACTTTCTAAACTTTCTGAACATGATGTACCAGTGCGTTATTTCTACTTTAGAAATTTATAGAGTCGACCTCTGTAAAAACCTTTTCAGGAAGAGACTTGTCAGGAAGAGGCCAGACTCTATCCGGTTGTTCAGTCTGACGTCACTAGCCGTGTCTGGGTCTAAACTCCGCTGCAGGTCCATATATCAAACGATCACTATGGCATTACCGAGAGTTGAAAAACTGTCTAAAGTCTTTCATCTTTAATAAAATGATCAGCGTTCTGCTCTACCAGGTGTAACAATTGAGTTTAACATCCAGGCATCCATGAAAACGGAATTTATGACATTTAACGGAGTTAGAAGTTAGCAGGGAGTTAGCTCGCTAGCTTCTATCTAAATACAATATAGCATGTCCTGACTGCGGGGTTTTGGAAACAAATTAAAACGTACAGCTCTGTTATCACTTCCAGCATAAATGAAGACAGAAAACTAAACAGCAGTGACGTTTGTGGGGTTACTGAAGTTTGGCTAGCTGGTATATAATGATGTGCTACGTGACCGCTAGCGACACAGCTATGTTAGCATAAAATAAACAAGCTAACTTTTTTTCCACTCGATAAAAGTTAACGTGAGTGTTCTCGGTGGTCAGGAACAAATGTAATCGCATGGCAGGATGCTGTAAAAGGACCAAACTTCAGCCAGGAGAGCAACTGAGATAATCCATCCACAATATGAGGTTAGTCATTCATATACTGCTGCATGGGCTGGGCTGTAGTTACATCCTAAGGTTTTAAAAACTGAGCTTAAATAAATGATTAGCGGTAATAAAAGCCGAGGGAGGTCAACAGTGATCACTGACTGTTTTAGGAGCTTTTTGAGATCAAATAGAAGAAAATACATAACATTAAACATGTTAACAACACAAAAGCCATATTAAACGCAGACTACTTTAGACCTGGAAGTAGGATTCGTCGCATCATCACTGAACAACCAGATAGATGCCCTTCTGCATCCAGCAGTATGCGCGGGTCCACTGGGACACCCGAACCGCAGGTTTTTGGTATTTCCACATTGGCTTCATTCATGCTAGAGCTACAGCTCCAAGGTAATGTATATTTGCATCGATGAAATCAAGAAGAACCAGAATTTCGAGTGTTTGTCATCTAAACCTGCAGATATTTCTCAAAACTGTCAGAAAAATGTAGTTTATTTACATTTCTGAAGAATAAACTGGAAATAATCAACCCACTATTTTGTCTGAAATATTTGGGTGTGACGTGGCTCGTCTTTAGCCTGTGGCAATAACGGGGTATACTGTGATCAATGCTGTCTTGTAAACTTAGTGTTGACATCAGAGTTTTTTATCAGTTTTTATCATTTATGAAGATGCTGCAAGCGTATTTATCTTTTTGCAATGTAACTACATCACTACAATAAATCAAAGAACCAACACTCGCTGACATCTTTAAGTCAAAATACACAGAAAATAAATAAAGGCAAAAAATACATCTGCTTTTACATTTAAACAAGAAGTTACGATTTGTAATTTTTTGGTCTTTAGCTTGGCTTTGACATGTTACATATATTGACCTTGAAATAATTTCGGATGATTTCTACTCACTTTGGAATTATTGTGACTTTTTTTCTTCTTGCTATTATGAGATCTACCTTCATATATTGTATTAAATATTTAAATAAACAACTGGCAACATTTATAAAACATTAATTACTTTGGTGATCACTTTACCTTCCACTCAGAACCATCTAAAAATCCAAGTTTTAACTTGCTGAATAGAATCAAATACCTGCAGAACCAATACCTGTTAATGGTTCATTTGGATTCCTCAGACACAGATACAGTAGATCGAGGAAAGAAAGAAAAAAGAAGGATCAACAATTACATTCACAGAGAGATTTGGATGTTCAGACAGATGCTTTCAAATGCTGGACAGAAGATTATGTCAGTAATCTCTGCAATCAGGGGAATGAGAACGAGAGAGAGAGAGAGAGAGAGAGAGCTTGACATCATGCGGGGACAGAAACAGATAAAAGTCAACTGTAAGGTCTCTGAGCAGTATGTGGAGAGTAATTAAAATGTATATAAACAGTTGAATTATGCAACAGTTCCACAACCAACAACATATACAAATTAGAGGCTTTTTAAAATTTGTATAAATTTGCATAAACAAACCTGTGTCACGTTTCATTTTGAACATTTTGGGAACACCTGAAGGTTCCCAGACACCAAACATGTTTTTGAAGGAAGCATCTGAAGTAAATTTATTCTTCTGTGACTTGAAGTGAATAAAAAAAGTAAGGCAGATGTCTCTAAGAAACTAGAACAAGAAAGTAGGTCTTTTTTCTTATGAAACAACATTAATCTTTTATGCAGACACTTCTGTGTCTTGTGTAATTTAAGAAAGTGTCCACTGTTAAACAGGACATCTGGAGATGCATGCATGAAGGATTTGGCTCTTATTTGTAGATAAAATAGGATCATGGTGATTTTCCGATCAGTTTGGTTTGGTGACAAATTTCTGCTACTGCAGCAACATAAAAGAGGAGAATTTGATGCCGAGGTATTTAAAAATCCACACAGTAATACTTGTTTCTTTGGATTATCTACAGGCCATACTGAGAACACCAAGGATTCGTTAAATCTGAATTATTCACAGCGGGATACAAGGATTGTACTATAAATAGTTTTGTTTTTTTGGTTTGCTTTTTAGGGTTTTTTATTTTTCAAATGTAGTTCTTCTTTTTTTGGTAGCACAGTTACAGATAATGCATTATTAAGTTTTAAGTCATCAAATAATATATATGAGAGAAGATAAATGGGAAAGGATGTAATAATAAAGAGACACAGTCATTAACAAGAAATTTAGTTGTCACTTACTTCAGCACATTTGCTGTTTGTGACACAAAAATTGTGCAGCTGTGTAAATAGCAGTGGAATACTTCAGCAACTACAGATTGACATTTTTTCTTCACTTCTTCATTTCGAGCACGCTCTAATAAAGAAAAAATGGCAATATTGTCATGGTTGCTTTATTAACTTTGTCTTGACATTTTGTGCAAGTACTGCATACTTAGCTGTGGATCATCAACAGTGGAGTTACATCACTATGACTTGAACTACAGATGTGTAAAGCCAAATCCTTTTCAGAGAGTAAATTTGTTATGATGTGGCAAAAAGGAACAAAATGCAGACTTGAACAAAAAAATATAAACTTCAATTAGGTGGCATGCATCAGTCAATCAAAATCTGCATGTTTGTGTACTAAATTTTTATTTTTTTTTAAATGTTACAGAAGCCATTTTCCAGTTAACAATGTTTTTGTTATTTTGTTAATTTCTTAATTTTAAGAGGAAATCACAGTTTTTAGATTAGATTTACATCGACATAAAAAAGACTTGATAATAACATTTTATTACAATTCCAACATGTTTTATTCAGTGTATTGTACAGGATCAAGACTTGATTTCACATGTTGTCTTACAATAACAAGTCTATTCTCCATATTCACCACTTAACTAGGACATTGAACATTTAAGACTGTGACATATGGATACAATAAAGAATGTAAAAGACATGAAATTAGACCAGGATAATGGAAACCTCCTGCATTTACTGTAGTTACACCGTGGGCTATATGTTGGTTTGGGTTAGAAAAGGAGGTAGAACATAACTTGTGGTAGTAATAATTTTGGCTACTCTGAATGACACTTTGTAGCTTTCATCTTCTTAAGAAATTCAAATTAAATACTTACTTTCTAAATGTGGAAGAAGCGATCAGAAGATGGACATTTCATTTACATGCTGTAAAAGTTTGTTCACAGGTTTAAGAGGGGATGTTGTCTGTATGGTAGACACATACCGGTGATACTTTGAAATTTGAAATGCTTACAGTTTGTCCCATTTTTTTCCTCAACATTTATGTGCTGTAAATAACTTAGACAGCACATATGGGTATACAATAAATTTTATAAAACCATTGAAGAGGTTCTGTGTCATTGTTTAAATTAGACCAACTGGTCATTATCATCACACCTACAATGTGTTCATGTTTTGTGAAAGTGCTGTCAGGTGAAGTGGACAAAAAAAGACAGTGACAGAACTAGAGAAATATACAGTGAAAATGTCTGAACAGCTACTTTAAAGGTGAGTATTGAATCAAGCGAAGAGCATCGTCATTGTCCAAAACTCCCTGGATGAACTCTCCTTCTGCAATTCGGTCTGCAAAGAGAAAAAAAAAAGTTTCTTATAGTTTATTAGTTTTGTTTATTTGGAGTAATATCAAAAACTAAAAGGAAGTCTTCAAAGATGGACATTAAACATAGATACACTTAAAAGACATTGCAAATACAAACTGTGTAATTGAGGAATGTCATTTACTTTGATAGTATTACAATCCAGTAGCCTAACCTATGACTACCAGATTTGTCACATTCCTCAGGGATTTATTTCTAAACCTGTGTTTTCACTATTGCAAGTGTGATCTACTTATCTGTCCATATCCAATGTCCATATACGTCTTCACTATTTCTTACCGTTGTCACCCTTGTCAAAATAGTTCCAGAGTTTATCCGCCCTCTTCTGAGCTGTGTTTTCATCTTCAGGCAACTTTTCCATCTCTTCTTTGGGAATCAGCTTAAAAATTGCCTGTCAAGGGAAAAATAACAAAATTTGGTGAAAAGTGAGAAAAGATTTCACTTGTGTGAGCTACAGCTGTATACAGTAAAATCTATTTTTGTGGCTGCAGAGGGAAATGGAGCCATTGCCCCCAAATCCTCCTTTAATCTGAACCGCTTTGTCACATCTATGAGCTGATGAGCTGCC